CTGCCAATGCCCACGTTCCTCTTTATAAAAAGACTGATCACCATGGGCCCCATCAAAGGCCAGATCTGAGCTAAGAAGAAACATAGGAAACTCAGAAATAAGAAGGAAAGCAGCCCATAAAAAGGCACAATGTACACCCCAAACAGAGAATGGGTTGAGAAGAGAGTTCCAGGAGAAACAAAAATGCTCCCCTGATGGATGCATGGGCAGCATGCGAAGGCTGGACAAATCCGTGTGGCACTCAGTCAGGAGAGGCAGCAGGCAGGAAACCGAAATCTGAGGTCTGCAAAACTGGAGTAAAATCTAGTTCCAACACCTACAAGTTCTAAGACTCTGGCAAATGACTGAAGCTGTTTGAGATTCAGTGAAACGAAGCGAGAGGAAGGGACACCCCTCCCCGCACCCGCACACACATGCACACACAGACTGTGCACAGGAGGCGGCAGTGTCTGGCCTGTAGAGCCCGGGGCTCCCCGTGCCAGTGGCGGGGGAAGGGCCTGCTCCAGGGACCACATCCCCTGGCTCAGGTGTGAGGCAATGACCACCTCACAAACGGCACTATGGAATTTACCTTAAACATGTAATTGTATAAAAGCACAGAGAAGGTAAAAGAGAACTTTCTCCCGAGTACCTGACTGTAATATTCAAAAAGTCATTTAAACATCTGCACAATGGAATACTGCGCTGCTATAAAAAAGAAAGAACTCTTACCATCTACAACAGCATGGATGGACCTGGAGAGAATTATGCTAAACAAAAAGTTATTCAAACACAGGTACAATCATGCTTGCTGCACAGTCACACCCATTTTACTGCTACCAAGGAGAGAGTGGCGAGTGGAAAGAGTTCACTCCAGGAAGGGCTGCAGCCCTGAAGCCATTCCTGATAAACTGTTCTCAGTGTGACACTGTGTTCCCTCCACTTGAAACCATCCTAGAAACTAGTAAGATGACCGCCAGGGGAGCCTACGGGTGACAAAACAGCCGCCATCACTGCACTGCAAGGCTCTATTCTAGGCCCAGATTGATACTTCATTCATTCATTCATTTTAAATCCTCACCCAAGGACATCTCCTTCATTGATTTCTAGAGAGATTGGAAGGGAGGGAGGGAGGAAGAGGAGGGAGAGAGAGAAACATTGATGTGAGAGAGACACATCGATTGGTTGCCTTCTGCACATGCCCTGACCTAAGGCTGGGGAACCTGCAACCAAAGTACATGCCCTTGACTGGGAATCCGGGAATTGAACCCGAGACCCTTCAGTCCATGGGTCAATACTCTAACCACTGGGAAAAACCACATTGATACTTTAGTTTAAAGTATCTGTAACGGGAGGTATTAACGCTCTCTCAATATGCAGATTCAGTACCAAATGCAAGGAGCAAAACTAGGAGATTTAGTGCCCAAACCCGACCCATTATCTGTTCCAGGTGTTGTCTTGGCACAGGAAACAGCATAAACAAGACAAATGAGGTTCACCCACCACACCCCAAATTAGGTAACTCAGGTACCGGCTGGGAGTACGGGCAATAAAGCAAATAAAATGAGTCACACACCATGTCAGGTGGCTCTATATGCTGTGAAGAAAAGCAAAGCAAAGAAAGGAGCTAGATAATGGAGGGTGTTCAGAGAAGGCCTGAGGAAAGGGAGTCTGGGAAGGGAGCTCTAGGCAAGGGCGGTCGAGTGCAAAGAGGCACCAACACACCCGCTGGTACTTCTGAGAAACTTCAGAACAAAGCTAGTGTGGGAGGTACAGAATGAGCCCAGGAAGTAGACCCAGGGATTGTTACGGAAATGACAGGCCGGGAGCAGACTGCATAGAGCTGTAAGCGTTAGCACTGTGCCTCCGGGGCCATGCTCAGTGGACAGGAGAAGCTTTCAACAAGCTCTCTCTTTGGACTGCTCTCCAGAGAATGGCTAGGGAGTGAGAGCAAAGTGAGATGGCAGGGGACCTGTGTTAGTTATACCAGCCCAGGCAGGACTGACCACTAGTGACATGGTCACTATTAGGTGAGAGGGGAAGGATCCAAAATAGACCAACATACTTGCAAGGGAAAGCCGACACCACTACGCTGCCTCAAGTCTCCGACCCTCGGCCGTGATGAGCCAGGGTCTAGTGTATGGATCTAGCAGCGAACAACCCAAGAGGAATCCTGCCTCCTCCCTCCACCTTCTAGGCTCCCACGTTACTGCAGGGAAAGCCCACATTCTCCAGCCTGGTATGTATGCCTTCCTTCCGACTTCTCACTCTGGCCTGGCGTCTTCAACTATGCTCTGCTGTAATGAAAAGGATCTAAACAAATTCTATGTCGTCCATTTGGCAATTCACCATTGAATTGTTCACAGGAGCTGCTGTACGTGTAATCACTTTCTGCGTTTGGCTCATCAAGGTTATGCTCCTTGGAGTTTGGGCAATCTTCTTCATCATCGTCTTCGTCATAAAAGCTTGTTTCTCTTGCCTCGTATTCATTAAGTACCAAGTGGCACCCACCAGCCTCTAGATCACACCCCTTTCTTGCAGGAAACATCTCCCATGGGGGAGGGGTGGGGTGCTGGCCCATGGTTATCAAACAGCCAAGCTAAAAACCAAAATGAGGACCTCCCATCACATGCCTGGATGAGGAGATCCTGTCCCTGCTATGTCCCTAGAATGTGACAATATTCAAAAGGTCTGTTTGGTAAGAAGAGACTAGGCTTAATGAAAAAAGAAAAAGAAAAAAAGAACTTCGCCTTTGCTGGTTTGGCTGGTGGATAGAGCGTTGGCCTGCAGACCAAAGGGTCCCAGGTTCAATTCCGGTCAAGAGCACGTACCTTGGTTGCTTGCTCCTCCCCAGCCTGGGCCCCGGTTAGGGCCTGTGCAGGAGGCAACCAATCGATGTGTTTCTCTCACATCGATGTTTCTCTCACATCGATGTTTCTCTCTGTCTTTCCCTCTCTTGCACTCTCTCTAAAAGATCAATGGGGAAATACCAGACCTAATAGTTCTCCCTGCCTCTCCCAGCACTCATGCAACAGACAGGGTGCTGGGAATGGATGGAATGTGTGTTGTTGGACAGAGTAAAATTTTGATTGTGAGTAGAAAAAAGTGGGAGAAAGGAAAGAGTAGAAGAATGTAACCAAACGTCACTGATTTGTTTGTCCATTACTCAACCAATGTTTATCTTAGAATCAAGTTAGATGCTGAGGATATAAAGAGAAAAATACATAACCCTTCCAAAGAGATTTTATATCCTAGTGAAGAGACAAACAATGGAGAGGAACAATGACCATGCACTTAAGGAAAGTCGACCAGGAGGGAAGAGGGGACAGGGATCAGGCCGGCGGGGGAACACGGGACTCGTGTTGAGCTGCTACCTGACCAGACAATGAGTTTGCCAAAAGCACGGACAACGGATGAACAGGAGGAACCCTTCCTGGCCCGCGGGAAGCACAGTGAAGGACAGACACACGAGCGAACACGCCTTGTGCCCACAGACGTGTGTTATTGTGTCTTAAAATAAAGGGGAAGAGGCTGTGTGACACTTGGTGCCCAGCAGTCAGAGCAGTGCTGGCAGCCTGAGAGTGAGACACACAAAGGTGAGTGCTTCCCTGGATGAACCGACATCCCAGGTAAAGCACCTTGTAAGCACCTTTAAAAGGCTCTGCTCGGAGTAAAGGTAAACAGGATCAGACTGTGTGTAGCAAGGCGGCTCTGCAGGCCTTTCCCAGCTGCTGCAATGGAAGGGCTGCAGACCTGGCTGAGCCATCTGCAGGCTGGCTCGCCCACGGACTGTCTGTTAAACACTGGTCAGCAGAGGGAGCAGAGGAGGTCTGTGAGGCCAGAATGGAAACCAGCCATGGTGCCCAGGGTTTGCTTACTGAAGTCCCTTGGCAGGTCACGGCAGAGATGTGTCACGTGGCATTCATATTTAAATCCTTGCCACTGCCTTTAAAATGGCAGCAACTGAGTCCTATAATCAGGAATAAGTATCAAAATAAAGACACCCCTTCTCAATCAGACAAAGAACAGGCACCTACCTCTGAACAGAAACAAAACAAACCAAAAAATAAATATTACAGATGGAAGTATAAATTAAACTACACATTCTAGAAAGCTACAGGTATAAGTTCTTAAACTTGGAAGGTTCTTAGACGATGTCACTAAATATAGAGAGAATGAGACAAGCTCAGAAATGGATCTGAGACGTAGAGAGCAAGAGAAAGTGGCAGAGACTATACTTTGTTACATTAATTATTCACGAGCACACAGATAAATGGAAGTGGTGCGGCAGACAGACATGGCTTTCCCACCTCCAGCCAATTCCCTCCTTTGTCCAGTGTGACTCAGACCACTGAGGCAGGTCCCTGATGGGGAGGGACACTTACTTTTTGGCAAATCCCCGGTGCTGGAGGCCGAAACCGTCCTGCTCCTGTCGTGGGACGGGCTGCTCTCCTCCTGCTCAGTAAGCGGGGATCCGTCGGAAAGTGCAGAGCCACAAGCCACAGGTTCTAAGGGCCCAGAGGACAATGATGTGGAAAACTCTGGAAACTGTGACTCGGGAATTTTATGTCGTCCATTTGGCAATTCACCATTGAATTGTTCATAGGAGCTGCTGTACGTGTAATCACTTTCTGCGTTGGGCTCATCAGGATTTGGGCAATCTTCGTCGTCGTCATCTTCGTCATCCAGCTGCTGCTCCAACAGGAATGGGCCGTTCCCAATGTGGCCATTGGTTCTGGGCAATTCTATCCACGTGGGATCTATGTTCTCGAGCTCCTGCTCACCATCGTCTTCATCCTTCTCGATGTTTTCCTTCTCAGCATCTTCTTTCTCTTCCTGGTCCTCAGCTTCACCTTAAAGGTTGATGAAAGGAGAATCAGAACTTGTTACCTCCTTACCACAACGGCACTAAGCACTCATCTCCTCCAACAAGAGACAACTCTAAATGTGCTTAACTTATGCACTACATAGCAAACACCGGTTGGCTCTCAGGTTTCCGAAATCTTAATTTGCATTTATTAAGTAACTGGCCTTCTCTTATTAGAGAGTTAGCTCCTGGGGGAAAATGATCTAATAGTTGCATTTCCATTTCTACCGTCTCCTCTGTAACCCTCAGGGAAGGTCTGTGGGTATAGTACTATTAGGTAAAAGGTTAATTACAAAATAAAAGACAATCATCAGCATGATAGAAACATGGAGTTTCTCAGATATTTCCCATGTTTTAAAAAGCTTGTGAAAATATTAACATATTTCTGGCATCCATTTTACAAATGAATTACCAGACAGTTCCCCATATTCCTGAGTAAGGAGTTAACGAGAACCCTCCTCACTCTGAAGCAGCACGGCCACCCTTTGTGGTGCCCCGGGGGAGGGTCCCTGTTAGTGGGGCCCCGGGCCCTCTCTGCAGCCCCTTCTTCCGAGCGACTGACCGTTGTCCAGCGCAGGCTCTCCCTCAGCAGCCTCCTCCAGCGCTGCTGTTTTTAGTTTCACCTCTGGGTGGTATTCATCATCTTGCTCATTCGAAGGTACAGCTGATGTGACGTTTTCTTCTATTATTTTCCTTTCAGCTTCGCGTTCCAATTCTTCTATTTCCTGCAGGCGCTTTTCCAGTAACTCAGCCTGCCTTTTCTGCTTCTTTTTCAGTTTTTTCTTTTTGTTTTTAGAAATTTTTCCTATCTACAACATGGTAAGAAAATACCACAGGTCAGTTTGCTTCTTTTGAAAGCACTATGCAATAGTATAAAGCCTGGAAGTACAGCAAATACTAACAAAGTCTTTTTTTTTTTTCAGATTGTATTCAATTAAAATCACATGCCCAGACATGAGATCTACCTGGTGGCTAGGGTGTCAGTCAAATCAGAAAAAAAAGGAACCAATGTAATATCAAATAATAGGTCCTACCCTCAGAGGGATGTAGCTTAAATCCAATTAAGTTTTTTCCATTGAAACTCTGAGAAGTACTGAATATGCTGAGATAACAAGAAGCACCACTTGCCAGTTTTATGTGCTGCTGCTTGTACACAAAGTAACGAAGTCTCCGCTCCTCACTACCTTACCAAGGACCTGCCAAAGCAGGTGTTTCCTTCACTGCTTGTGTTTGGGTCTCACACACTGAGCTGTTACCAACAGCCGAGACGGCATGAACGCAGGAAACGAGCCCACGAAGGAAAGGAAAAAAGAGAAAAGCGCCTCCCATGACAGGCATCTAACTTGGAAGCTACTAGCCATGAGAGCCTCCCGTTTTCACAGAGCAAAGCCAGCTGCTCGAGTCGTGGGGAGCTACGGAGAACGGCACAGCTCACGGCCTCGCAGGCCAGGCGGCGCAAGTATTACCACTTCTCTTCTACTGGGACTTCCGTTCCAAACTGAGGGCTGTGGCAGCACCCTGAATTCCTGGGCATTTCCTTTCAAAGCTCTAAAATCTGTAGTTGACGAGATCGAGACATTCAATCGTCCCCTGGACCCAGCTGGGGTCAGGGCTGCTGGGCAGGGTTTCTTTCCAGGCAGCCTGCTTCATTTGACTGGACTTAGTGTTTTCACAGGACCACAAAAAAGATAATCTCTCCCATATTTAACTACTAGCTAGAGGGGGAAAATTTAGAGCTGCATTAGAAAAACAGGTAACTTGGAAGCCAATGGGAAATAAGGTAAGGTGTTTTCAGAATAATCACACTCCAAACTCTATTTCTATCACCTATTTCACCAAGCTCGGCCAACAACACTCCAGAAAGCACGCAAGGAAGATTAAGATCAAACTTGGATCCGCTCTAACTATTTCTAAGTCTAAAATTCAGTTCAACTTACCAAAACAGTTTAAGTCTTATATATTCAAGGATACACAGCATTTGTAAACACACCTGTGTATTACATTACTATATATTAGGACATCTGTGATTGAGAAAGAAACCAAAACAATATATGACCAATTCCCTCAACCTACCCTTAAATGAAAAACTGTTGCAGAAAGAAACAAACTACTGTCACACTGTGAAAAGTTCAGTAATGAGCAGATGCTTTTAAGATTAGTACTTACAGGTTTTTGCTGTGGAGCCGTACTCACTAAAACAAACAAACAAAAAAACGACAGTTTAGAGGGAAATTGATACATATCCTTATTAAATTGTAAAATGAAATAATTACTGTCTTTTAATGGCTATCCAACTTCAACAATTTAAATACTAGAGCTTCTGAATCAAAGAGATCTAAGTCTAAAGAATGTTTACCCAACTCAAATGAAAGGTTCTTAAAAATCATAGCAATAGCTGTTCAATATGGAACCATTTCTCTTGTTTAAACTTGGATCCGTAACCATTTAAAAATAAAAAAATAAAAATAAAAAATAAAAATAAAATAAAAATAAAATGAAATGAAATAACCATTCTTTTCAGAAATAGGCCATCCAAAAGCACTGACTAATAACTTAAGAAAATGGAAGATTCACAAATGAAGTCAATGAACCAACTTGTTTTATAAACAATGAAACAATTTAGATGAGATGTTTGAAAATTATTCAGCAAGTTTGTACAACTAAAGTAAATCAAATATTGCAGCAAATATTCTACAAATCAAATGACCAGACCCTGCCAGCCTCAAAAGCTTGACAGACTAAAAGGGTCCATGATCTAGGAAAACACCGATGGTAGAAATCAAATTCAGAGGTGCTGCATCTCCCAAGCCCCCATCAGTCACAGGGCTGCAGCCCTGAGCCTACTCGCCTGCCTGCCAGCCTGGGGCACACACACTGTGAGGAGAGGGGAGAGAACAGTCCACCCCTCGCTGCCACCTTTGCAGTCAGGGAAAACCTGAAACTAAACCTGATATACTAATACTCAAGTCACTTGGTCTTTCCCCCCGCCCCTGGGGTCTGTAACTGATTCCAAATCCACTAGGTAGACTATGACTGATGTAACTATGCTAACTAGAGACTAGGAGGCATGCTAACAAGCCTGAAGCTAGAAAAAACTCTGATGACTACACGTCGGCTACATAAGCCCTGCTGCTATATATTCTTCTACAGAGAAGTGGGCAACAGAAGGAAATGTGCCACGGCAAGAATTGAAGTGACCTTTTAAGCGAGAACAAAGAACTCAAATGTGAAAATGTAATCTGAAGCATCTTCCTTCTTAAGAAAAAAGTAGTTATTTCTATCCATCAAGTTCTTACCAAAGTTCCTAATACGTACACAGCTGCCTCAGCATGCAACTCTGCAAGCTCTCAATGTTCCCAAACTGGCTGAGACAGAGCTGGCCCGGCCCTCACCTGCAGACCCTGACGGCGGAGGAGCGCCCGCTTTCTGCCACTCCGTGGCCTCGGCTGCCATTCTGCGCACGTACGCATCATCCACACACATCAAGATGTTTTCCGGCTTTATGTCAGTATGAATGATCTTGCATTTACTGTGTAGATAATCTAACCCCTGAAGTACCTGATCACAATGAAATTAAGAGAGGAGATAAGTTATTTATACCTTTATTAGTCAACATTTATTCGTAAAATAGGTAATATTGTCACACGGCACAAAATTCAAAAGACAAAAAACGATATTCAGTAAAAATCTCCTCCCACCCCAGCTCTTTCCCACAAGCAACCCATGTGTATCATTCTGGAGATAATTTATGCTCATGGAAACAAATGCATCTATACATACATCTATATATACATTTTTTAAAAAGACTTATTGATTTTTAGAAAGACAGGAAGGGAGAGGGAGAAAGAGAGAAACATCAATGTGAGAGCGACGCATCAATTGGCTGCCTCCCACATGCCCCCGATCAGGAATCAAGCCCACAAGCCAGGCATGTGCACTGATTAGGAATCGAACCGGCCTTTCGGTGCCTGGGATGATGCCCAATCAACTGAGCCACACCGGCCAGGGCTATATATACTTTTATAATAACTTTATTGAAATGTAATTTGGATACCAAACAATTCACCCTTATAAGTCTATGGTATTTAGATGTGCAGCCATAGCCACTATCTAATTTAGAACACTTTCATTACCCAAAAAGAAACACTATACTCATTGGCAGTCATTCTCCATCCGCTCCAAACTCCTCCAGCCTTAAGCAACCACTAACTTACTTTCTATCTTATTCTGGACATCTTACCTAATAATCCTATCTAATCTAATAAAAGAGAAACATGTAAATTGACCGACCCTCAGCTAAGCTCATCAGCCAATCAGGAGTATGCAAATTAACCCAACAAAGATGGCGGTTAATTTGCATACAAAGGCACCCAGTGGCCTGGGTCCCAGGAACATCATCGGGCACCCAGGTCACTCCGAGGTAGGCCCTGTCACTCTGAGGTGGGCCCTGAGCAGCCTAGGAAGGGCCTGCGCCAGGGGGCTCCTGGGCAGGGCCTGAGCCTGCGATCAGAACTGAGGGGGCCCCTGCCCAGGCCTAACGCCTCGGCCAGAGGGGTGGAGCTGGCGATCGGAGGAAGCAGGGGGTCCCCTGGCCAGGCATAAAGTCCCGGCCAGAGGCCTTAGGCCTTGGCAAGGGCCGAGCCGGAGATGGGAGGGAGCTGGGGGTCCCCTGCCCAGGCCCCAAAGCTTTAGGCCTGGGCAGGGGCCAAGCCAGGGATCAGTGTGAACTAAAGAGGAAACACTTTTTCTGACCGCTCATTGGCTAAGCTCCCTGTATGCCGCTGGTAATATTCTTAGTAACTTGGGTAATAAGAATCCAAGAAGGTGACCTAGGGTTTTTCCACCACACTTCTGGAGAAAAAAAACACAGATCCGCTGCTGGAGGGCTAAGAAATGTCATATCCTGCCCTAGCCGGTTTGGCTCAGTGATTCCTCTCAGCCCCACTGGAGTCCTCCAGTCCCGGGGACGGCCACTGAGAGCAGGGCCTGCTTGGCCGTCACCCGTGGTGACCCAGAAGTGGCCAAGCAGGCCTGCAGACAGCCAAGGGGAGCAAGGAGCGGGCCTAAGCCATCAGTAGGACATCCCCTGAGGGCTCCCAGTATGTGAGAGGGGGCAGGCTGGGCTGAGCGACCCCCCTCCCCCACCAGTGCACGAATTTTGTGCACCGGGCCCCTACTTTTATATATAAGTGAAATCATACATAGTGGTCTTTTGTAAGTGGTTCATCCAAATACAGCATGTATCAGCACTTCATCACTCCTTTTCATTGTTAAACAATGTTCCACTGGATATACCATATTTTGTCTAGCCATTCACTCGATGGACATTTGGGGTTTTTCGACTTTTGGACTACTACAAATAAAACTGCCATGAACATTCACATACAAGTTTCTGTGTGGATATATGTTTTTATTTTTCTTGGGTATATACCTAGGAGTGCAACTGTTGGATCATTGGGTAACTCTATGTTCAGCCCTTTGATAAACTGCCAGACTGTACAGTTTAGACTATACAGTGGCTACACCACTTTCCGTTCTCAGTGGCCACGTGTGAGGGTTCTGATGTCTTCCTCATACCCAGCGCTTTCTCTGTCTTTTTCATTTCAGTGACTGTAGTGGATAGAAAAGGTATATCTCACTGATGACTAATGATGTGCATATATTTTTAATAATGCAGGAAAGGAGGTTGAAGTTTTTCTGGACTTACTTCCATGGGAGAGGAATTTTTTCAATTATTTCCATACCCAATTATTTTTAAAATACAGATCATGTTCCTATACATTAGAAATTCAAGATGCTCAACGAATATTAACATTTAATAAATATCATTAAACCATTTTAAGACATTTAGGGGTCTTGTCCACAATAGACAAGTGGGGAAAAGACAAGCAGAAGATATATAATATCACTCAACTCTGGAAAGTTAGCAGTAAAAACCTAACACTTCTGTCTACCTTGAGTATCTGGCTAAACGACCTTAGCAGACAACAGAGAGTCAGGAAGTGAGGGTACAGATACAGAGATTTCAAAAAGAGAAAACGGAATGACTGTCTCTCAAGTAGGATGAAAATCCCTCATCTAGTCTTACCCCCACTTTTCTAGCCACACAGTAGACTACGTGTTTGATACATAGCAATAAGCAAAGTCCCCTGGCTTCATGGGCTTACATCGTCCTCACGTTATCACAGAGCTTACTGCTTCATGCCAGGGGAGAGAAGGGTTGGCCAAGGAGAAACCAAGTTGAATCATGGGGACAGTAAACACAATTTAGAATGTGGACGAGTTCCTACTAATAGTACCAGTAAATGTCAACACTTTTCTTAAAAGATCTTTCACCACCATCTCATCCTCAAGTAGCTTTTATCTTTCTACCTCAGGTCCTTCACATTCTCAGGTTGTTTTACCATGTGGGAGGCTGCACAGGTATGAGTTCATGAGATTCACTATCCAAATGTGTTCATATGAGTTCCCCATGACAATGAGGCTATCAAGATGAGCAAAGTGTTCTCAGAAAGAAGAGTCCAGATTTTTTTAAATGTTGCTATTGCACACACTTGGGTTAACTTCCATTAAGAAGCATAGTTTGTAACATCTGACTATGAAAATAAGGAAAAGACTTCACCACTGGAACAAATTAAGTTAATTAAGATTATGTAAGTCATTAAAGGAAAGAAAATGGTTAAGAGATGAAGCATTAAAACACAACCTCAGGGGTCACACTGTTACTAAACACTGCTCACTCACTCACTGGGCAAGGTATCTGAGCTTCCATTTTCATATCTGTAAAAGGGGGGAATATATCTGTTAGAAACAGTGAGAATTAGAAATAATCTGTGGAAATCATAAAAACAAGGTCTAGCTTACAGGAAGCTCAAAAATAAGTGATATAATTGAACTAAGCCAGAAGACTTGTATTATTGACTAAGTAACTATAACTCGACTAAGTCATTTCTTAAACTTCTCTAGGCTCAATTCTCCCATAGCTAACATGAATGGGCTCTACTTGATAGTCTCTGTGGTAATAAAGTTACATAATCTGATTCTGTAGTTTCTTTTAATTCTAGACTACTATTTTTTAAAACCTTTAGCTGTAAGCTAAGAACAATAGTTTTATTTTTTTTTAAATGTCATTTCTGCCCTGGCCGGTTTGCTCAGTGGACAGAGCGTCAGCCTGCGAAATGAAAGGTCCCAGGTTCGATTCCGGTCAGGGGCACATGCCCAGGTTGTGGGCTCAATCCACTGTGGGGGGCTTGCAGGAGGCAGCCGATTAATGATTCTCTCTCATCATTGATGTTTCTATCTCTCTCTCTCCCTCTCCCTTCCTCTCTGAAATCAATAAAAATATATGTATATATTAAAAAAATGTCATTTCTGTTCTCAGCCACTGAGGTTTAAAGCAATAAAGCACCCCAGAATCCAGAATCCAACAATAATGCAATCTTACAACCATTTGTGCAGAATTACTATGATGATGCAAAAAATAAAATAAAAATCTATGAAGCAAGCTTCATGCTCAAGGATAGGTCTCCCCTTGCATATTCTGAAAAAATAGTTAAAAGGAGCCTTTACTAATTTCCCCTCTGTTGCCTTCATTTGTCAAATCTTAAGTATTTCTCTCCAGCCTAAAAAAACACACAT